CAGTTTTTATATTAGTTATAGTAAGTTTTTTTTTGTAAAAGGAAATAATTTCAGGTAGAGTCAGAACCTCAGAACCCTACTCTTACGTACGCCACTAATTATCTGTACTTGGTAAATTATTGCTTAAGTTAATCGAGAACTCGAGCTTAAGATAAATTAAAGGATTTTGGAAAGCATTAATTATCAATTAATCATAGTTTAACAATAATTGTTAGAATTGTAATATAATAATATAATAATATAATAATATAATAATATAATAATAAATTGTGGGTATAAGTAAAAAATTCCTAATTTTTATAAAAACATTGAATAGGTATTTTTTGATTTTTATACTATAAGTGCGGTTTTTTAAGAATATTTTAAATACATTCTTATTAATTAATTATTAATGTTATAATTGTTAAAAATAAAATAGGCTTTAGCTTAATTAATAATAATAATTAAAAAATTAATACGTTAATCCCTATGAAGGTATATGACATATTATGTAATATTATAATATAATATATATACATTATACATGCCTTATCTATAAAAATATAGGTAGTATGTGCCTATACAGAATGTTCAAAATGTTAACGTTTTTATATATTATCATAGACTATAAGCATTTACTTTTATTTATATTAAAATATTGAGCATTAGAGTCTAAGTATCRAATTTTGAATTTTGTACTATAGTACACGCTTTTGGAAACATGCATGGCTTAAATCGTTTAATCTTTATTATGATTGGGGAACGGAAAAAAAGTCTTGGGGGGAAAAAGTACAGGAAAAATATTTATAAAACTTGGAACATTTTAAATAAAACTTTGTCTCCAAGATTTTTTAAAAGCTATAGGTACCCCAAAATATTAAGTTACATCAATTATAATTTATACAATGGTTTTAGATTCTGAATGAAGTGAAGCATGTATTAATTTTACAATGATGTATGTTTTTTTTCTTTTGCCTGTCATCAAGTTTTGGAGTAGAAATAATCCTTTGATTTTTGACCTTAGCTTTAGCTCCTCTTTGAAAAACAAAATTTATCTAGTTGGTACTTTGGTGGTTAAAAGTAAAAAAATTCCAGTGGTTTTCAAAAGCGTTAGGAAAACTTTAAAAAAGTAACGAAAAAACGGGAATTTTTAAGCATAATATTAGTTTTCGGCAAATCCGATTAATACGATTCAATTAAATATTATCTATAATTCTTTTCTTAAATAGGTATAATGTCTTTTGTATTTATTAGGTAGTTATTATATCGTCATATAATTAATAACTATTGTCTTCATATAACAGGCTTTTTTCCGGATATTTTTTTTTTCATAGGCGTGATTTAGACTTCATCCGCAGTGGCAGCTTAGCTAATGAATATCGCCACTTTAATGAACCGAAAAATGCCCCATAGGTACCCCCTTCGATTGATAAGTTGGGGGGAAGGGGAGTAGTCCCACCAATTTAATATTTATATAGCTTAAAAAAGTCTGTATTATCTAATTAATAATGTACAGTACTTTCAGTACTTTTAAATTTAATCCCAGGAATACAGACCGGATTACACAATATAATAAAATTAATAAACAAAATATATGATGATGAGCAACTAGTCAACTAGGTACCTATACTAGCGACTAGTGGATATAATAACAAAATTATTTATTTTATAAATATAAATTATATAAATACCTAATGTGATCGGAAGGACATTGAACAACACATAACATATATATTTTATATATTATAACATGCATATATCAAAATTCAAAGAATAATAAGTCTTCTTTTTGTAGTAACATTTTTCTTTCTTTATTTTATAGAGCCGAGACATTTGACACCCAATAATAGGACAATATTGACACCAAATATAAAATTCATAAATACTGAATATTGAATAACCATCATTTAATCTTGTAATATAATTCAAGTTTATTCTAATAAAATTAAAAGATAAAAGATCTTGTAAATATTAATTTATATAAATATAATTATATAAATAAAAAGCAATAAAAATAAAAGATATAGGTATTCAATGTTTGATTACATACGATACAATTTTAAGAAAACTAATAATTTCAGTATTTTTTGTTTGTATTGAGAAGTTTTACATAAACGTTTAAGACTTTCTTGTTTCTTCATTTGATTGAATTTTACAATTTATTTGAATACCCGTGTTTAGTTATGTCCTATCCATTCTTATATAATATAATAATCATAAGAGGCGGAGACATCAATTCGACAATGCAATATTGTTATATTATTATAACAAAATAAACAATGCACATTTTTTTTCTAAATGAAAGTTGTGAACCACCTGATTTAATATTTGGTTGACAGGCGCCTTTCAAAAATTACAGGGGCAGCCCTGGCGGCTGGCACCCTAGACTGCCACCGTCTAGTTACCATCTTTCCCACACGCCTATGCTTTTTTCCCCCGAAAATCTTTTTCCTACCATCATAATGATCCTATTTAGTGAATTTAGAATATCTATTAGTTTTCCATATCGTAAACATCATAATAAAGTTAATGTAATATAATTAGTAGCATGTCATGATGTAACTAGTTATGACGTGGATCAGACATTCAGTCTACCAAAGGTTCCTAAACTTCTCAGAGCCAGCGCTACCTTTTGCAAGGCCCTGGGCTAAGCTTATTCTACCTATAACCGTCATAATCATTTAATAGTCTTAGCCTATACGATTTCCATAATATACAATATTTTTCAATGTAAATTTTAAGCGCGAGGCCCCGGACAAATATGCCGACCCTGCTGCTTCTCACCTGGCACGAGCCACGAATGCGCGATCCATTTTGGGAAAGGTTTAAATATTTACGATCCACAACATATACTAGCTATAATGACCTATGACCTTTTATTGTTTATTTCTATTTAAACATTTTAAACGATAACTTTTAGAATAGCGGAGTGACGTTGATGAGTGGTACCAGGTATGCTGTACTTACGTCATTGATATACTGATGATTTTCACGTGCTGCGGAGATGATACATTGTACAAGTGCAATAGCCAATACCTAGGTATATAGTTACAAGGGAAATACTTTACCGGGAACACACATTTAAACATCAAATATATTTTATATTCTTATACATATGGTAGACGYCGCTTATAAGAAACACGGATAATTGATACCTACAATCGCTTTATTGAAATAAATTGTCCTGGGATGGATTGGCTTTATATATAACTATATAAGTTACCATCATTATAAACGCTCGTTCTAACTGCTAACCGTCGTTATTATTTGTGTACGAGCAATCGGTTATAACTTACAACGAGAAAAACTAGCTGGCCCTTGAAATTCGTTATAACCGATTTCTACTGTATACCTAAAGAATAATATAGATCTAAATATCATATTTATAGACGGACAGACTATAGAACAAACAGACCAACCTATTTAATATCTGTTTATTGGGAGTATTTTTAAGGTTCTGGACTTGTATTATTACTCGAAATTTATAATATATGAAATTATGAAATTAAGATTAAGAAATATTCAATAAAATAACATTTTATTATTTAATCAAAGATTTAGCTAATAGGTACAATTTACGACTTGTGACTTGTGATTTATTTATTACTTATTTATTTATTATTCACCCAGCGTATTGTTGTTAATATATAGCTAATTATTATTTTTGTAAATTATATAATAATAAGTCATGGAATTTAAACACCCTAAAAAAATGMTTTAATGCGCTAAAAATTTTGAATTATGCATTGAAAAAATGCACTATAATATCGTTATAAGTTTTAATAAACATTTGGTATATCTTAATGAAGATATACATTTAAAATGTAACATTTTAAAGGATTGTAAAAAAGTTTTACACGCATTATTGCCCAACAAGGTAYAGGAAATAAAATGTTTCCCACAATACATTACTTCATGAACTCATAAATCTAAAGACTATAGTGAAATATATTTTTTATTGGAATAAATACAATCTGTAATATTAGTTAAAATAAGCTTATGMGTGGAAATGTACAGTTGAGATTGTGAGAGAAGCAGCTACCCAGCAGTAACACTCGACGTGGCTATTTTACATTATAAACATATACTTATGTTAGCGTTTTTTTAAATTTATGGTGAAATATAAAGAAAATTATTGGTTTAATGAACTATTATATACAAAATACTCCCATTGAACAATTTGAACTGCATAGAATAGACTCATTACAAATATGTAAATGTATACAAATCCGGACCCTAGTTATTTGATATTAGACATATTTAAACTGGACTTTACCTTTCATAAGTAAAATCTTATGAGCAATCATAATCTCAGATTGTAAAAAAAAAAAGAGGAGGTTGTTAGTGCCTAGGGGTATATTAAATTAATATTTATTATAAATCATTGAAATTTTATAAAATATTGTGGAGAATTGATTAATTGTACTTAAGAGTTGATACCCATAAATATAATAAATTCAATACTTTTCACTTTTTAATAAATTTTTTGCTTTAGGAATCCATTGAGAAATCAAAATGTATAACATAGACTAAATAACCAGATTTTGAAGCTATACAATACAAAGTACATACATTGGATCTGTTTAACTATTCACATGAAAGTGTCCTAAGAAAAAGAATCAATACATTGTAGTAAAATATATATTACTAATAAATAATAATTAAATGTAAAAACTTGACAAAATTGTAATAGATATGYCAGCTATTTTTAAAATGTTGTAAATTTTATGCACATCCTTATCTACATAACTTAATTGCTTATATAATAAATTAAAACATAATAATGGAATGACAATAGTGATTGTATTGAACACAATTTAATTATAAATCATAAACTCTATACTTAAAAAAACAACGAGAACATTTGTTTTCATTTTTAAACGTCTTTATAGTCAACAAAAAACAATCAATGTTAAGATCTAGGAAGTAGTTCTTCGTTCATAATTGTATAGTAATAAATATTATAGTATTAATAAATAAAAAATAAATGCCAATAGCACAATATGTCAATATCTGAAAAATATTATTATAGTTTTTTTTTTTACTACTTAGTCGTAAAAATAGTCACTTAGTATAATGTTAAATGCACAACATATATTATAAACATTGTATAAAAAACATATTTRACTACATTCTCAATTGGTACAACATTGTATCTTAGAATTATTTATCTTATCATTGTTAGAAACTTCTTCTGGATCAATTTCAAGTTTTAAATGCACTGGTGGTTTTGAACTTTCTACTATTTCTATAAGATTTCGACCAATATTTGTGAATAAGTCTTGAATACCTGAAAAGTAATAAAGGTTTTAATTTTAAAAACAATCAATTATTTTTAAATTTTATAGTGTATTATTTATAATTATACATAGGTTATATTCCCATGAAATAAGGTAAAATTCATTTTAGCACTATTTTCCACATCATTCTCTAGATATTCAATAATTCGGAAAGAGTTTAGTCCAGTGTTTGGAAAGAAYGTCGTTCATGAACACATGTTSACACGTTCACARTTAGTGAACGATATGCGAACGTGACTCATTTWWAAAAAATAAAACGTGAATGTGAACGACGTTTATATTTTTAATGAATTTGAACAATTTAGAAGACGCTCAATTTATTTACTATTTAATAAATATAATATATATATAATTTAGATACTTTATAAAATGTATATGCTCTAAAGTCTAAATTGTTTTTATTTTTGGGTTGAGACCTATATGTTTATGGGTTYTTATACAAACTGCTGGTAAACTATTTATAAACAAAAAATTAGACRAACGACCTAATGAACGCGTTCATTTTTTCAAAGAATGTGAAAGTGAACACGTTCATTTGAAAAAACATGAACGTGAACGAGTTCCTTTTTTAAGGACTGAACGTGAATGTGAACGAATTCATTTTTTAGAGAATGTTCCGAACACTGATTTAGTTCTATCAAATATGGATCAACGAGACTACAACTGAAGTTGAATTTTTTAGTAATATAGTAAATAGACTTACTATGGAAATTTAAGTTAAAAATATTACCGGTGTTCATATGTTGACTCATTAGGTATAGTAAATTATTCCACAACATACGTATGATCATTTTTAAATTGTTAATTGTAATATTTTAAAAACTCTTAATTTTTTTAAAAATTTAAATAATAGAGTAATAGAGTAGGTCCTTACATCAGTWGCTTTTCAGACGCCTGGGTGGATTACCTGGAATTTGATTGGAGGAAAGTTGGATGATTATAAGATTAGAGTGAGAACAAACACAGATAATGTTTTTTAAGTATGATAATAGGTCAATTCGCCGTAATAATAAAGCTAACAACACGAGACTGGATCTGCCAGTGGCGTGCTCAGGGGGGGGGGAAGTTAGGGGTTATATCGCCCCTCCATTTTTTTTCAAATCTACAAAAAACAACTTGTTGGTTATAAGAGTTGTTTTAGAGTCATTATTTAATACTTTTTATTAGTTATTACTTTATTAGCAAAAAATTATAGTTAAATGTATTATTATTATTTATATCATCCCCCCWCATTGAAAATGTCTGGGCGCACCACTGGGTTCAGCTGAATGTAAATATAGTGTGTAGATCATAGAAAGAAAGAAAATAATAGTGTTCTGGCATCCTATTAATTAATAGTTTCATGTAACTACATTTTGATGTAATTAATTTCTGGGAGATTTGTGTGTTAAAAAAATTATGGCAGAGAATATGTAAACTTAGTTTAAGTATGATATTATAATCCATAATCTTACCTGTGTTTGAGTAAACACTAGTTTCCCAATAATGAGCATTCACTGAATTAGCAAATTCTTTAGCTTCTTCAAACATWATTACACGTGAATCTAGTAAATCAGTTTTGTTACCAACTACATAATAAACCACAGGCGTGTCTGTATTTTTTCTTACTTCTGAAATTAAAA